CAAAGAAACGGCTGGGATCCTGCTGCAGATGAGTCCTGCCGACCTGCCGCTCACCGCAGTCTGTGAGTTCATGTTCATGTCTCTATACACATACTTTTGCAAATGCTTGTGCTTTAAAGCAGGATGGATTCTGATTGGCTGTGGATGTTTTCATCTTCATCAGCTGGAATAAAGTCGTTCTGAATGGGATTCCAGCTCTAGCATTCATCTGTGCTGTTATTGTTGTAGTTGTGGTGTGGCTATTTAGAATAGTTTTCAAAACTTTATCATTGTAGTTATGTGTTGAACGGGCCTTTTCACTGGAAAAAAATAGTGTAGAGACAATTATCTCTCAGAAATTGCTTGTAAATTTCACAAATACTTACAATGAAACAACAAGTACCATGAATTTTGAAGTAGAAAGGCTGAAATGGTATTGTAAAACTACTAGTAAAACTTGTAGAACTACTTGTAAAGCTATTTTTCGTGTAATTTACAACTGCGGTAAATCATGTAGGATTGAAGGAAATCTCTGTAAACGTACTGGTCATTTTCTGTCAGATTTTAGTCAGAGTTACTAGTACATTTCACAAATAGTTGACATCAAACAAAGAAACAGCAAGTAACAGTGAAATAAATGTGTAATTTTGAAGTAGATAGACTTCGCAGTAGACTGAAATAGTATTTTCTTGTAAAGCTTGTAATTTACAACTTCAGAAAATACATTTTTACAGTGTAGGGTTGAAAGAAATCTCTCTAAACATACTGGCCATTTTCTGCCAGCACATTATCCATTTCACTACAGATTTTAGTCAGAGTTACTAGTAAATTTAATATAAAATAAGTTAAATGACAAAGAAACAGCATGTAACAAATTGAAATAAATGTGTAATTTTGAAGTAGATAGGCTGAAACTTTCTTGTATAATAAAGCAATAAGCCCCGTGAAGCCGTGGTTTACAGTGAATGTATTACAGCTAAGGGGCGTTGTTAACGGTTTTTTTTTTTTTAAACCCCTTAGCTGTTCTAAATTCACTGTAAACCACGGCTTCACGGGGCTTATTGCTTTTATAAAACAGTTATTCCATATACGTAGTAAGGTTTCACAGAATAAAACAGAGCAAATAAAGTGTAATGATATTAATAAAAACAGTATTCTTCCACCAAACAATGTAGCTCCTCAGAAACAGTTGTGGTTGCTACAAAGAGGTTGCCGAGCAACAGACAAAAGTAAACAAAGATGTATGTTACTTTGTAGAGTCATTTACAACAGCTTCGAACGCGGCTCAGCCAATCAGAATCAAGCACCGGAACTCTCCGTTTTATAACTTGTAATTTACAACATCGGAAGATGTTTTTTTACACTGAGGGCAGAAGGAAATGTCTGTGTTTCTGCAGATTTTACAGTACAGATGTAATGTCCCTGTCTCGCTCGTGCTGAAGCTGTGTGTCTCTGTCTCAGTGGAGAGCGTGTGCAGACTCCCCGGCGTGGCCAGCGTTCACGAGGCTCATGTCTGGGAGTTATCTAAAGGACGTAACGTGGCCTCGCTGCACGTCAAAGTGTCTGCTGACCTGCAGGACCCAGCTCTTCAGACGCAGATCCAGCAGCTGTTCCAGCGCGCCGGCGTCCACAGCGTCACGGTTCAGCTGGAGCGCGCCGACGGAGAGATGCCCTGCTGTCCTCCTGCCTCGGGAGACGTGGCCCTCCACATGCTGCCAGAGAAACACACCGAGCACAGATCTGCCAAATGCACCAAGCTCTAACGCTGTTTCTGCAGGAGCTTCGACCCGGACTACAAACAGACTCTGTGTTAACTCCTCACGACTGTGACTCGCTGCGCTCTCAGACTCCAGCTAATGATTCCTGATAATCGTTCTTCGTTAGTCCTTCATGTTTGAGACGTGAGTCTGTTCAGCTCGGTGCCTGACAGACACCGGATCATCAGTCCAGCTAATCAGCAGCTAATTTATTGTTCTGCAGAGATTCAGAGGGTGAATGAGAGACACGTCCAGCTCATATTTCAGCCCAAAATAACATGATAAAAACACATAATCAAGCCAGTCTCATGACTACTTAATGTAAACATGATGATAATATTTGTCGTACTGCCTCTAATGCTTAAATAATCATCTGTATTATAGTAATATGCAATTATTATTATTTAAAAAATTTTTTTTTTTTAATTAGCTTCTTTTGATTTTGGGGTGAAATTCGATCTGGACGTGGTTTTATGAGATACTAATAGCATATTTACATTACTTATTGTTATTCATTACCTTTTGCTCTTAATAGCCTAATCTTTATAACTTCTTGGTAATTCAGGGAAACACAGAATTAATTGATATTTAGTTGTTGTGTGTTTGTGAGTGTCTCTCTCTGTGTGTGTGTGTGTGTGTGTGTGTGTGAGTGTCTCTGTCTGTGTGTGTGTGTTTGAAAGACAATCAAATGTAAAATCAAACTTTAAAACTGTATACACTAATATTAAACGTGCTGGTTGAATTCAGATTTAGCCTTTCTAAGTAAACAGATCTGAATGGACGTGAACTGAATATTCACCTGATGATCGGCTGTTGTGTGGAGAAACTGCAGCATCTCAAAACACACATCAACTCTAATCACAGGTGTTCATAATAATCACAGACAGACATGCAGCTGATGCAGCGCTAGAGGGCAGCAGAGAACAAACCCACACACACGAGTCTGACCTCAGATCAGTGTCTCACACACTCTCTCTCTCACACACACACACGAGTCTGACCTCAGATCAGTGACTCTCTCACACACACACACACACACGAGTCTGACCTCAGATCAGTGACTCTCTCATCTCACACACACTCTCTCTCTCTCTCACACACACACACACACACACACGAGTCTGACCTCAGATCAGTGTCTCACACACTCTCTCTCTCTCTCACACACACGAGTCTGACCTCAGATCAGTGTCTCACACACTCTCTCTCTCTCTCACACACACGAGTCTGACCTCAGATCAGTGTCTCACACACTCTCTCTCTCACACACACACACACACGCACACACCTGTACATGAACATCAGTCACGTGACTTTCAGATGAAGGGAAGATTTCTTTCATTTCTGTTTTTCTGTCAGTTATTCATAACAGTCCAATCTAAAGCCCAGTTATTAATTTCCACTGAGTATCAGTAAACACATGACAGTATCGGATTATTAATAATGGAAGAGGCTGAAGGTGTGACACGAACTCACTGCCATTCAGAGAAACCATTGTAGCTTCCTGGAAGCAGAAGCATCAGAAAACACCAGAGAGCAGTCGCTAGTTAAACACTGATGAAGCAGGTGTGTATCAGAAGCTAGTGAGGCGGTGGAGAACGACACTGATCTGTGTTTGAGATGACACCAAACCTCATCTGCTGTTTCAGACTCAAACCAGACTCAAGAAATGGGCGTGGAAAGCTGCGAAAAGGGGGAGGGGCCAAACACAACAGCCAATCAAACACAGTCCTACAAAACACATTGAATATTAAGTTTTTAGAGCTATTGGTCCATATGAAAACCAGTTCATCCCAAACCCAAACCGCTCAGACTCAGATTAAACAGAAGAGCCAGCTGATGGAGTTTAGGCAGGACGGACCAATATGAAAACAAGTCTGACTTACAGTCTTGACAGTAATCTGCGCTGTACAAAAGTCCACTTTCACAGCCCACACCTGTTTAATGCAGTTTCTGTCTCTTGAAAGTGTGTGGAATGCTGTCTCACGAGCTGAACGATCAGCATTGAACACATTTGTCTCCTGTCAGAGTCAGATCTGCTGTGACCCCGTGACCTCTCTGCGACCGGACGGGTCTCTGAAGAGTGAATACATGGTGCTCGTGTGTTCAGATGTGATGCAAGCAGCAGAGAGGCTCTCACAGCCACACATCTTCTGCTCGGACTGAAGGAATCACGAACGCTTCATTTAGCCTGCAGTGTAAAGGGCAGAAACTGAATGAAGCACTGGGAACAGTTACACTTCAGTCCACATATTCAGACTAAAGCTTATGAGACGCGATTCTCCTATTTATCATTTCTTGCACTAATTATTACATTTATTTTAATCATAAAATCCTGATGCTTTTGGAAGACCACAAAGAGCTTAAAGTTGATCCTTAAAAGTGACAGAGATGTTTTGTGAGGAAAGCCTGTCTGTGTTGATTCTTGTGCTGTTCCTCAGATCCCGTGTGTGTTTGTTTCCCATCCGCTCACATGCTTGAATCCCATCAGCAGAGGACTGAGCTCCTACATCATCCTACATCACGTTACTAAGCAACCACCGAGCACCATCTGTCGTCACGGCAACCGCCTCACCTTCAGACGTCTGGTGATTCTCTCCATCACCTTCAGTATGCTCTGTTAAAGTAAAACACTAATTCACTGACAGATATCATGCTTTTCACATTAAGAACGGCAAGTATTTTTTATATTACATTACAAGTTTTCTGAAATGTTATTTCTGAATATGCAAACGAAGCATTGCATAATTAAATATGTGCATACATTTCCAGAACACAAATCTGAACGTTGGATAAAGTCAGGTTTGATTTCTTGTTTGATTTTGTTGACATATTAAAGGTTCTGAATTTCGGATTTCTCTTTTTATCGCTCCATAAATCAGAAAATACAGTCAACAGACAGAAAACAAACACATTTTCAACCGTGTTTTCAGGAGTAAAATGTTGTATAAATCAGCGTGAAAAAAAAAACTCTTTAAAGATTGAAATCTACAGACGTAGATAGATAAAGTGCAATAAAAGGAACACTTCAGTGTGTATCTGGGATGTTTTCTTTCCACTAGTCTGAAAGAAGAGACATGATGCTGAAGCAAAATAAACCAAAATCTCTGTATGTTTTAGCCTGTCGTGTGTCACACATTCAGACTTCACACGTCTGATTCAGAGACGCACAGTAAACACGTCTGAGCCCTTCATGTGAACACGTGCAGATACACCCAACTGGATGCAAGCTCATAAAGGAACACAGAAGATCGATTTATTGGCGTATTGATTTATTGGTTAGTTACAGTGACTGAATATACCTGAGTGATAGTGACAGTGACGTGTGTATGAGGAGAAACACGCGTGTGAATACAGACACGGATCTCCATCACAGTGAGCCGGTCTTCACCACTGACACTAAACCAGTTCAAACAGCACAGCACCACACTAATAGTTATGGGCAGCAGCGATGAGAGGTCAGAGGTCGGAAGGTTCGGTTCGGTCAGCTGTTATATCGGTAACTCAGCCCTGATTTACACGAGGATTGTCTGAGAACATCACATGCTGATTCCAGCTGAAGAAACCAGCGTTCGGCTTCATCGCTGCGTTTCTGTGTCACATTAACTGCAGCCATGCAGGAGAAAACACCACGCGCTGCTGATGAACGGATTTTCCTTTATGACATTATCTTTCAAAGCTAATGTGCTATGGCTGTGTTCCGTAACTACAGAACATACATACACCAAAGCAACCAAATAAAATATCATAATTCTTTAAAATATGGCTGTAAGTGGTTTGGATTTGAGCCACTAAAGCAAACGAGAAACACAAAGACCTGAAAGAGTACAAGGAGGTACGACAGTGATGACTGCTGATGCCGTCTGGTCCCTCGTGCGTGGCTCCCGCAGGCTGCGCTTCATCCTCTCCTCCAGCAGGAGGTGCTGTGGCTGGGCTTACATACACAACCGTCTCTCACTCCTCCTTCAGCTCCAGCGATCTCCCGCCGCTCCAGCGCCGGTGACAGGCCAGCTCCATCAGCTCCACTCCACCCGTGACCCGCTGCTGACACAGGAAGAAGATCACCATCAGCAGGAAGTAGAGTCTGAGGGGGGTCCAGAGCCACAGGCCGGCGCAGCAGAGCGTGATGAAGGCGCTCCAGTACAGCAGCGACGCAGCTTTGATCAGCGCCACTCTCAGCTGGCTCTTACAGGGCGGCACGCGGGCCTCGGGCTGGTCGAAGCAGCGCGGCTCGGAGCGGTAGAAGGCACACAGACGCTGCTCTTTCTCTCGCCAGCGCTCCTGACACCAGCGCTGCAGCTGCTCCGCGCTCGAGGGCAGACACGCCGCAGAGAAACGCCGCACGTGGAAGTGGATCTCGCGCGGGAACAGACCCAGGAGCAGGTGCCGCTCCGTCTGAGGGATGTTCTGAGGATACGCCACCGTGATATCATGCACAGCGTCCAGGTTATCACCTGCCAACAGAAATAACAATCATCAGGCAAAGCCAGAACTAGTCCTTGAAGCTTTACACTTTATCAGTTCATGCATTCCCTGGGAATCGAACCCATGACCCTGCTGTTGCAAGCGCCATACTCTTCTGTATGAGTTTAGATTGAGCTCTGACAAACATCTACGCTGGACTAATTCGATCCTCTGAACTAATGATGCAGAGCGCTGATGACCTCTGACCTTTCCGCAGCGTGTCGACGATGAAGGTGAAGCCGGTGGTGCGAGGATGAAGAACATACTCGTACTTGGGAAGACCGTTTTTCTCGGCGAACTCGTCGCTCCTGGCGCGGGTGTTTTCTGCACAAAAACAAATCAGATGCAGATTTTAAAGGTTGGAGGTTTAAAATTATTTCTCTTAAACGAGCACTTCTGATCAAACCAGTCATAAGGGTCAATTTTTCTAAATAAATAAATAAATAAATAAGCTCTCCATTGATGTATGGTTTGTTAGGATAGGACAATATTTGGTCGAGATACAACTATTTGAAAATCTGGAATCTGAGGGTGCAAAAAAATCTAAATATTGAGAAAATCATCTTTAAAGTTGTTCAAATGAAGTTCTTAGCAATGCATATTACTAATCAAAAATTAAGTTTTGATATATTTACGGTAGGAGATTTACTAAATATCTTCATGAACATGATCTTTACTTAATATCCTAATGATTTTTGGCATAAAAGAGAAATGTATAATTTTGACCCGTACAATGTATTGTTGGCTATTGCTACAAATATACCCCAGCGACTTAACACTGCTTCTGTGCTGCAGGGACACATATAAGATGCACAAGTAAACTATTTCTTGAGAATGTGCAAGATTTCTGATTCATTAGTCACTTGTAAATGACTAGAATAAAAACAGTGCAGTAAGAGGGAGAAATATCTGTGCAACAAACACGTGTGTAATTATGATAATAAACTGAAATAATATACCGGTTTGCAACATCAAGCAGCAAAACAGACTGTTTTTATACAGCTACAAGAAATGAAAGACATGCACGTTCAAGTTAGAAGTGACCAAACCCACTCTTATACACATAATGAATAGATTTAATTTATTCACATATAAGAGTCAAGTACGGAAGAGGATTAGGGCCAAGCAATAATAAAAATAAATAAAAACATCTCGAGATTAAAGTCATTATAATGCGTGATTAAACTCGAAATAAAAAGTCTCGCATTAAAATGACTTTAATCTCGAGATGGTTTTGTTTTTTATTATTGCTTGGCCCTAATCCGCTTCCGTAGCTAGGGGGTAATTAATGTAACGAATCATGTAAAAAATGATCATCTTTTATTGGAAAATGAAACCACATTTTATCAAACTTTGATAATTGCCTTAATCCATTATACAATAACTTGACCCACTTAATAAAGTGCTCACCAAGACCAAATTTATGTAACGTATGAAATAAATAGGGCCATTCGATGCGATCGAACGCCTTCTCTGCATCTAGAGAGATCACAAGACCATCTATTGACTGCTGTTTAGCAAACTGTATCACATTCAACAGGCGATGCATATTATTGACAGAGTTGCGTCCTACAATAAAGCCTGTTTGGTCATCCTTTACTACAGCAGGGAGAAGGCCTTCTAACCATGTTGCTAGGATTTTAGAAAGAATCTTCAGATCTACATTCAGCAGAGAAATAGGTTGATATGATGAACAGTCCTCTGCTTGCTTACCTTTTTTTAAATTAAGGATATATTTGCCTCTCTCGCCCTGTGATAGCTTAGAATGTTCCTGATCATTTAAATGGGTCTCCTTAAGTAAAGCGATATGTACCCCCTCCTTTTTTAAATAAGTTCAAACCTTTCTTCTCTTAATAGGTGAATGAATACCATTAACATTCCATGTACAAACTTTAAGATTTAACATTCTCAGTATATATTAGACATAATGCAATCCAAATGTATAATTTGAATGATGTAGATGTCAGCCAAACAAACGAGCGGTAAAAAGTAGTTATTTATACTCATAATGGAAAACGCCAGACATGAGCGTGCTAAAATTATAATATGCGGTTTGTAGTAGTAGGAAACTCAACAAAGGGACACTACCGCTTAACTACACAGCCTCCCTTCAAGCCGCCATCTTGAAACCCCCGCCTTAATCTTTTTAACAGCTGTGAAGATCGTGATCTACATTTTATAAAATTACCTGTTAATTTCGGCGAAGAACAAATTTGTTCTCATGTGCGTTATGTGTTACATACGTTACAGTTTGTGTTGTGAACGTTTTTGACTGACAGAATGTTACATTCATCTGTCGCAAATTCAGTGACTTTTGAAAAACGAGTGGGTTTGATGCACAAATGTCGTTTTTGTTGTCTCTTATAACAAAAATCTTTTATTTAAACCCATGAGAATAAAATAATAATAAAATAAATAATAGTGAAAAATCACATCTGTGTCCCTGCAGCACAAAAGCAGTGTTAAGTCGCTGGGGTATATTTGTAGCAATAGCCAACAATACATTGTATGGGTCAAAATTATACATTTCTCTTTTATGCCAAAAATCATTAGGATATTAAGTAAAGATCATGTTCCATGAAGATATTTTGTAAATGTCCTACCGTAAATATATCAAAACTTAATGTTTGATTAGTAATATGCATCGCTAAGAACTTAATTTGGACAACTTTAAAGATGATTTTCTCAATATTCAGATTTTTTTGCACCCTCAGATTCCAGATTTTCAAATAGTTGTATCTCAGCCAAATATTGTCCTATCCTAACAAACCATACATCAATGGAAAGCTATTTATTCAAGCTTTCAGATGATGTATAAATCTCAATTTC